GGACTAAAGCATCCGCCAACTCCTGGACAGTCTGTGGTGCAACGTGGCGTTGGTGGATGGAGCGAGACATGATGTCCCAGATGTGCTCAATTGGATTCAGGTCTGGGGAACGGGCGGGCCAGTCCATAGCATCAATGCCTTCCTCTTGCAGGAACTGCTGACACACTCCAGCCACATGAGGTCTAGCATTGTCTTGCATTAGGAGGAACCCAGGGCCAACCGCACCAGCATATGGTCTCACAAGGGGTCTGAGGATCTCATCTCGGTACCTAATGGCAGTCAGGCTACCTCTGGCGAGCACATGGAGGGCTGTGCGGCCCCCCAAAGAAATGCCACCCCACACCATGACTGACCCACCGCCAAAAGGGTCATGCTGGAGGATGTTGCAGGCAGCAGAACGTTCTCCACGGCGTCTCCAGACTCTGTCACGTCTGTCACGTGCTCAGTGTGAACCTGCTTTCATCTGTGAAGAGCACAGGGCACCAGTGGCGAATTTGCCAATCTTGGTGTTCTCTGGCAAATGCCAAACGTCCTGCACGGTGTTGGGCTGTAAGCACAACCCCCACCTGTGGACGTCGGGCCCTCATACCACCCTCATGGAGTCTGTTTCTGACCGTTTGAGCAGACACATGCACATTTGTGGCCTGCTGGAGGTCATTTTGCAGGGCTCTGGCAGTGCTCCTCCTGCTCCTCCTTGCACAAAGGCGGAGGTAGCAGTCCTGCTGCTGGGTTGTTGCCCTCCTACGGCCTCCTCCACGTCTCCTGATGTACTGGCCTGTCTCCTGGTAGCGCCTCCATGCTCTGAACACTACGCTGACTGACACAGCAAACCTTCTTGCCACAGCTCACATTGATGTGCCATCCTGGATGAGCTGCACTACCTGAGCCACTTGTGTGGGTTGTAGACTCCGTCTCATGCTACCACTAGAGTGAAAGCGGGCGGCAGGTAGCTTAGTGGGTAAAAGCGTTGTGCCAGTAACCGAAAGGTCGCTGGTTCTAATCCCCGAGCCGACTAGGTGATAAATCTGTCGATGTGCCCTTGAGCAAGGCACTTAACCCTAATTGCTCCTGTAAGTCGCTCTGGATAAGAGCGTCTGCTAAATGACTAAAAATGTAAAATGTAAATGTAATGCACCGGCAGCATTCAAAAGTAACCAAAACATCAGCCAGGAAGCATAGGAACTGAGAAGTGGTCTGTGGTCACCAACTGCAAAACCACTTCTTTATTGGGGGTGTCTTGCTAATTGCCTATAATTTCCACCTGTTGTCTATTCCATTTGCACAACAGCATGTGACATTTATTGTCAATCAGTGTTGCTTCCTAAGTGGACAGTTTGATTTCACAGAAGTGTGATTGACTTGGAGTTACATTGTGTTGTTTAAGTGTTCCCTTTATTTTTTTGAGCAGTGTATATATATATATATATATATATATATATATATATATATATATATATATATATATATATACACATATACACATAAGAGTTATCTGACATGGTCTTTTATGTCATTCCATAATGTAATGCTCACAGGAACCATATACTGTACTGACCCCTCTGTATATGCAGTGAAGCTAACATGTGAAATTATACTCCAGCATTTTTGGATTTGAGATGTTTCATATGAGGCGACAGTACAGAATGTCACCTTTTATTTGAGGGTATTTTCATACATATGTTTTAGAAATGAAAGCACTTTATGGATCTGAATAGGCTTTATAGATCTCTTTCTTGGTCAAATAGCCCTTACACATCCTGGAGGTGTGTTTTGGGTCATCGTCCTGTTGAAAAACAAATGATAGTCCCACTAAGCGCAAACCAGATGGGATGGCGTATCGCTGCAGAATGCTGTGGTAGCCATGCTGGTTAAGTGTGCCTTGAATTCTAAATAAATCACAGACAGTGTCACCAGCAAAGCACCCCCAAACCATCACACTTCCTCCTCCATGCTTCATGGTGGGAACCACACATGCAGAGATAATCCGTTCACCTACTCTGCGTCTCACATGTTGATGTTGAGATGTGTCTGTTACTTGAACTCTGTGAAGCATTTATTTGGGTTGCAATTTCTGAGGCTGGTAACTCTAATGAACGTATCCTCTGCAGCAGAGGTATCTCTGGGTTTTCCTTTCCTGTGGCGGTCCTCATGAGAGCCAGTTTCATCATAGCGCTTGATGGTTTTTGCGACTGCACTTGAAGAAACTTTCAAAGTTCTTGACATTTTCCGGATGGACTGACCTTCATGTCTGAAAGTAATGATGGACTGTCATTTCTCTTTGCTTATTTGAGCTGTTCTTGCCATTATATGGACTTGGTCTTTTACCAACCCTACCTTGTCACAACACAACTGATTGGCTCAAACGCATTAAGAAGGAAAGAAATTCCACAAATTAACAAGGCACACTTGTTAATTGAAATGCATTCCATGTGACTACCTCATGAAGCTGGATGAGAGAATGCCAAGAGTGTGCAAAGCTGTCAAGGCAAAGGGTGGCTACTTTGAAGAATCTCAAATATATTTTGAATTGTTTAACCCTTTTTTGGTTACTACATGATTCCATATGTGTTATTTCATAGTTGATGTCTTCACTATTATTATACAAATGTAGAAAATAGTAAAAATAAAGAACAACCCTGGAATTAGTAGGTGTGTCCAAACTTTTGACTGGTACTGTAGGTAGGGGAGTGTAAAAACCCTTTCTATCAATATGATTCATACTTCTGATGTGTTTGGTGTTGAATGAGGAGACAAGGGGTTTCAGATTAGGAAGACTTGAGCTCTTAGTTCCAGTTTATTGCAATCAATGGTATTCTAGACAAAGAGAGAAGGGACCAGTCTCAATCCTCAGAACATTTGTCTTTGTGTCCCCCAGCATCTTGCAATGCACTGTCTCCTGAAGTACAGCACAGAGGAAAGGCTTATCCAAACTACAAAATCTTAGGCTTTCCCAACCCCCTACCCAAATACAGTCCAGCTCTCAACCACACAAACAACCCAAACAGTCTGAAAGCCAGTAACTGTCAGGTTAAGATGAAGAAGAGGATACATGGTATGTAAGATATATAATACTTTGTAAACAATACATTGTTCCAGAATATATACTTCCAGAATGTGTGCTTTTATGGTGTGGAATATTTGAGAGATGTCAACAGTAGAAACAATTCCAGTTCCATGATGTCAATGCTGACAGTCACACACAGAACCCCTCTATTTTCTACATAGAGAAATATGCACACACCATAAATACACAAACAGTGTTGTCTGACTGTTTAAGGATATGTAGGAAGACTTGGATGGGAATGTTGGCTGACAGATCTACAAATCCAGTGACACAAACCTGACACCGTTCAGAAAAGGTGTCAGATATGGTCATCAGCAGAAACACATAACACTGACTACTGTCATTGTGTTTGCATATTTATATATCAACTTACAGAGGAATGGTAGTATTAGACCATTATTACCTTGAAAGAGAAAGTGTACCAAACAAAGACGGATGCAGAATTCTCCTTCAATTAGAAAAAAAATAGTCACCACTATGTCATCTTTGATATCAAATGATTCTATATTAATCAGATACAAATGTTCCAGTTCATATAAAAGTCTGACGTGTGGATGAACATGTCATTATAACAAACAGTAGCTCATTCATTCCAGTTTCAGGTGACTTGTTCAAATACTTATTTCAGTTGTCAGGCCAATCATTACCCATCCCAGAAAAATTAAGTATCATTGAACCGACCTGAAGGAATAATGGTCACGATTATGCAGATGAGCCAACTTCCATTCACCAGAAAATGGTTTGCTTACAAGAACCTGGGACACCAGAGTGAATCCATATTCAGAGACACAGAGGCAGGGCTAGCTTTGATCAATGGCTTTTGTGAGGAACCCATTTGCGCAATACAGTCTAGTTAGCCATGACCACCAAGTCATGGAGGCAAAGTAAAGAAGAAAAAACATTAGATCTATTAGTTCAGTGGTTCCCAACCTTTTTTGGTTACTGTACCGCCAACTGAATTTTGCTCTGCCTGGAGTACCCCTGAAGTACCCCCTCATGTGTATTTTACCAGTAGGCCTATGGTCTCATGAATATTCTCAAGTACCCCCTGTGGATAGACCAAGTACCCCCAGTGGTCCTAGTACCCCTTGTTGGGAACCACTGTTAGTTTATCTGCTGGGTCAAATCTGCCAATCAGACACCACGCGGGTCAGACTGAGAGCCAATCAACAACATCCTCCAGTTTTCACCATGTGTCAATCCAACTTACAAAAAAGAATGTTACAGACATCAGTTCATACTTTGGGTCAACTCTCCAGCAAACTTTGGAATTATATAAAAAAATCATAAAAAATATGCCTCCAATCCCAAAATCTAGGCACAGAAAAAGTACAAAGTGTAAAGAGGCTGTTCGTGAAGGCAAACAAATTAAATAAAACTGTATTTACATTAAAAGGCTAAGTACCAGATAAAGTTTAAAATATACAGGTTTTTCCAGTGTTTCTAGTGTTGACATATATATAAAATAGTTTTAAAAGCATAAAGTCAAGTCGTCCATAGTGAAAATAAAATGTTCTCCGTTGCTCCTCTAAGGTCACTTGAGGAGGATATATCCCATTGGAAAAGTTTAGTACATTATCATCATACTTGTGATAATATGAAGGAAGAGTAGTGTGGGTCTGTATGTGTCTGCGCGCGGCAGTGATAGTTGACGTCATAGCTCTTATAACGAGAGAAGTTGATGAGGGATGACACCGCTGGTTGTGTTGTGTTTCCTCACTCTGGCTAAAGAGTGTCCACCATGCTCTGTGTGCTCCTCCCTCTGTCTCCCTTTCACTGTTATCCTCCTTTCCTTTCTCTCCATCTCACCAGTCTCACATCTAGTTTGGGTAATGACCAGTTCCATTTGTTCTTCCCCACTTTCATCCTCCGCTCTGACTTGGATGAGTGTTCTCTCCAACCTCCTCTCTCTTCCAGGCCATCCCTTTATTCTCTCTCACATGGCCCTCTCTTTCTCAGGGGCTGGGGGGGGGAGCATGGTACTGAGGATGTCTATGAGGTTGTCCAGACCCCACAGGTAGCCATCCTCGCGGTTGCCCTCCATCCAGGGGGTCCGGTGGTCCAGCGTGAGGGGGGCAGGCAGGGGCACCGTCTTCCCAAAGTCTATCATCCACACACGGGCCAGCCCTGACGCATCGTGCACAAACAGCAGGGAGCTGCCCACCACCTTGGAGAAAACAGGACAGTTGAGTTCAGTCTGTCAGTGAGTGTGTTTGTTTGTGATTTAAAGCTGCACTATGCAGAAATCGCTAAAATTCTATTAGCTCGCCTAATTTCAGTTTGTGACAAAATAAGCATGTATAGTGTAGAGAATCATTCTACCATCTAAACCACTTTGAAGTATATTTTCCATAACCAAATATATTGTATTTCAAGCTGGTGTACAAAACTGAAAGTAAAAGACGCAAACACAAAACTTAAGAACGGGAAGCATAGAAATAGCGCACATAGAACAGATGTACCGCTTCTTAGACTTGCTTTCAATAAGGATGACAGATCTATAACTAAATATTTCTATGTCGATTTGGCCAGGTAGCCCAAAAAGTTACATATTGCAGCTTTAATAAGGAATTTGAATCATGTTCATATCAATCACATTTAATCATAATCCAGCATACAGGTTTGTTGAGGGAAAGTACTCATACTGAACTTTACTGTAAATATTGTCTTAATTTTCCTCCAGTAAGTAAAGCAGAGTACTATGGGTATAGGTAAGTGGGAAGCAGTATAGGGTGTGAGTGAGTGAGTGTGTTTGTATGGGTTACCTCATGTGTTCTGAAGAACTGTGATTTCTCCAGCACGGATCGCAGCTCCTCCAGACGTTGCAGGTAGAGTTTCTACCAGAGAGAGGAGAAGGTGAGACAAACAGTCAAACAGACAGTCAATCTGAAGGGACTGAGTAGGTCCCCCTAGAACTCAAGTTCCCTTATGTGCCACCCGACTAAATGTCCCTCTAGAAACACATACCAGGATCTGAATATTCCCATCCACAAAGTCTCCCAGGGCCTGCATGACCTGCTCCCGGTGTTTGGTCTTCTTAAAGTTGGTGTTACACGTCCCGTCCGCTCTCTGCACAGCACAAATCACAAACAACAGTATTTAGTCTCATTATTGATGCAATGAATTTTTTTTCTTTCATTTTTTTATTAAGTAAGCTGTATGTGACATATTTTTTAGTACTGACCCATCACACCCATTTCCTTGTCTCATTACTGTGACCAGGAACAAGTTATTTTGCCCATACATTTTAAACACAAAAACTATTTTTTCAATCCCCTAATTTTTACACCCAGTTGAACCCAGTGTGCCCCCTGACCTTGATGCCCTCGATTCGGAAGCCCAGAGTGGCAGTGGAGCTGAGGGTCTCTCTCCACTGCATGTATCTGGGCTTCAGGATGCCTTGTTGGGCCCTCTCCTGATCCGTAGGGGCCCCGGGGTCCACGGCCACCATCTTCTCATACATGTCCCTGCGGAGCCGCGGACGCTCCCTGGCTTTCAGTAGCTCCTCCTCCAGGTAGGTCCTGATAGGACAGGGAAGACAGGGTTAGTGGGCCAGTTCATTATCTAACGACTGAGTTATCTAACAATAGTGATCTCCTCTCCAGCATTGGTCCTGGAGAGCCTCCGTGCGTGCAGGATTTAGTTTTGCTCTGATTAAGGTCTACTGACCGAAAGCTCAGCTACTTTTTGCGTCCAGTGCCTTCACTAAATCGGTTTTGGGTGTGTGGTAGATTCTGGCTATTATTTTCCAGCTCAGTACGCCCCCGGTCTCTCACCTGCTGCCCATCTTGCAGTCCATGATGGAGGGAGAGTCAAAGTCAGCCAGGAGGTCGTCTATTAGGTTGTAATCTTGTTCGTTCCTCTGCACCACGCCGTAGTAGCCAGGGACGTAGGGACGCAGAATGTCCCCCATCAGCTTCAATAGGCACAGCTGCTCACACTCACAGTAGCGCTTCAACAAACGCCCATACTCCCCCGCATGGAAGTTACCTACGAGACAGAGGAGGGAGGGAGGGAGGGGAAAAGTGAGTGACAGAGGAAAGGAAAGTGAGAAATACTGAGAGAAAGAGAGTGAGTACAGAGAGAGTGTGTGAAAGAAAGAGGCCAGCAAGGAGAGAGAGAGAGAGAGAGATAGAGAGAGAAATAGAGAGGGAGAAAGAGAAAGAGAAAGGGAGTGGTGTATACCTGCGTGCCCGGCGAGCTGCACCCAGGGATAACGCTTGTTAAAGGACACGAAGGGAGACCAGTGCACCATCTGCCACGGCTTGGTCTGGAAGGATAGAAGCAACAAATGGGTTACACACCACCAGTCAGCTAAACTAGAGGTTTACATATGGTCGTTCCGACTCATTCCTACTTGGCCACAGCAGAAAACTGGATAGAAATGTTGTCTCGCTTATCAGTTGGTCATAAGACCATTTGAGAGGTTGATCAAAATAGTTTGAAAACTAATGATGTATAGACACACACCACACACACAGACATTTATGCAGACTCGACAGGAGGCAGAGAGTGAGAGGTCCCAGCCCGCTTGAGCCAAGGCCAGGTACACAACGTTTCTCACAGCCCCCATTCACAAAACATTGACCAGAAACATCACACTGGTTCCACAGTAAAAAAAACAACAACACATGAACACTGTGTGAGTTTGATTGAGTAAGTGTGTGAGTTTGCTGTGAGTCTGCTTGGGTATCTGTGAATGTGTGTGTAGAGTTGGTTTATCTTTATTGGAAAAATACAGCAAGGTCACTATGCAAGGGGCTTTGACGCAAGCAAGCAGAAAGGAGAACACACACCATCGATTATACACACACGTCACTGATTAGGAAATGATACTGTATGTGTGTGGGAAATCACAGGAGGGAGAGAGAGAATGAGGAAGATAGGGCCAGAGAGAGACAGATAGACAGAAGGAGAGTGCAAGAGAAAGAAAAGAAACCCATCTTTTATGATCATTTACAACCCTCAGACTGCTAAAGAATGCATGCCCCACTACAGTACAGCCCAGTACAACCAACCAACCCCAGCCAATGTTTGTCTGTCTGACTCGTCCGCACTCACACATCCTTTCCACTGAACTGCTGTGATGTTGTGCTGAACACAGAGCAAGGAAAGAGTAGTAATACAGGCCAGAGGCCGTGTTCATAAAATATCTCAGAGTAGCAGTGCTGATCTAGGATCTGTCCATATAATCTTATTCATCATAATCTAAAAGGCAAACTGATCCTAAATCAACACTCCTACTCTGAGACGCTTTGTGGATACGGCCCTGAAGATGTACTGAATACATGGTAAAGAACAGAGACAGAGCAGGCCCGTAAGCCTAGTAGTCTGAGTCCCGGTACTGGTCAATGCCAACAAAGACTTCCGAGCTCTAAAGCTCTTTACCAGCTTAACCCTTACCTCAGAGCAGACGACACATTCACACTCACAAGAGCGTGATTCAAACACACAAAAGTGTACAGTCATCCACACATGCCTGCACACAATACCAGATTGAAAACATTGCAATATGAAGAAGACAAAGCCACTTCCTTTCAAGACAGAAGGAAAAGTGCAAAGAGGCAGAGGTAAATGTGACAGGTGAGCGATGAGCTAACTCCCAGGTGGCACAGCACTAATCTGCAGGGGGCTTTCAGCTAAATCAATCACTTTATCTATCATTCTCTCTCTCTGTCTCTCTCGGAGCTGAGCGTTGGGTTTGGGTGCTGGGTGTCACGCCAGGGTGTCTGGAGAGGAACGGGTAATCATAGCAGAGCTATACCCCTCCTAAATGGCTATCTTCTCCTCTTTCACTCGTCTCTCATCCACTCGTTTATCTCCCACTCGCTCGCTCTCCAGCAGTTCAGGCCAGACGGCATAATGAATGGCCGGGGGGGCGGTCAGATGTAACTCAGTCCCTCGATTCGATTTCACCACCTCCTCCCATCTCCACCTCCTTCATTATTACCTGACCTGAATGACCCAGGAGACGAGACTGATGATATGGAGTCGCTCACTTGATCTTCTTTCTCCTTCCCTCACTCTTGCCCAGAATCTGCCCTTACTTGTCCTTTCCGTAATTCCCATACTTTTACCTTCCTCAAAGTATCACTTCCTCACTCACTGCTTCCCGCTGTCATCCTAATCCCCCTCTATTTCCCTTTGCCCCTCTCTCCATCCTTACCTCCCTCTTTTCTTCCCTTCATCCTACACTACACTCTTGGAATGCGTCTGGCTCCTGTCATAATGATAGCAGCCATGAAAAACACACACAAATAGTGACATTCTGGACATCAGTGTTGTCCGCAAGAGGATAACGAAAGCTCTGTTCTGACCATGACCTACAGCGTTCTGACCATGAGGTCAAAAACGAAAGGCTGTGAAGCTCTGACCTACAGCCCTGGTGTCTATTCTGACAGCAACCGTCATCATAAATCCCCCTGGCTTACCACCGCCTTAGCCCAGATAGAGACAATGGAAACGTCAACTCAGAGCACCTTATTAACACCCACAACATGATTATAGCTTTTCATAATAAAGACAGATCCTAGGTGTTACAAACCTGGTCAAATAAAGTTACAATCAAATCTGGTGTTGAACCTAATGGACCCAATACACACCTGGCCCAGCCTACAGCTCTCCTTCTACCGGTCCATACTTGCTAATGCCAAAGCGGATAGATAATCCTTCACCTGTCCAGACCTGCCTCAACTAGAGAGGACAGGGTCTGTTGCAGCACCTACACACATACCTGTGTAGATCAGCACAGAGAGAGGAGAGACTGTGTACCTGCCGACCTCATATCTAATCCTAGAGAGAAACACAGCCTTACATACTGGATGTACACCAGGGGCGCATTCAGCAGGACGCAATGTTTTGGAACGTTCAGTTAGCAATATGCTATGTAGAACAAACATGCCTCTCTGACAAGTAGAATAAGGAATCACGTTGGCTCTATTTGTGTCATTTCTATCTGCAACGTTCGACAATGTGGCCCTACATCCAAACCCACAAGGACAGGGACAGTCTTCACCTGTCCACACCAAAGTATATTACATCTATGACTATAGAAGACCCGTGTCATCTGGCTTCAACTCTTAGTTATACTATACTTAAGCAATAAGGCCCAATGGGGTGTGGTATATAGCTAATAGGCACGACGCAATGCGGATGGCATATACCACAAACTCCCGAGGTGCCTTATTGCTATTATAGACTGGTTACCAATGTAATTAGAAGAGTAAAAATACATATTTTGTCATACCTGTGGTATACGGTCTGATATACCACGGCTTTCAGCCAATCAGCATTCAGGGCTCGACCCACCCAGTTTATATTGTACTGTATGTAAGCCACCAGTCAACATAACTCCCCTCAGCCACTCAACGATAACACTCGTTATACAAAAAACTGGGCAAAGTATGTTTTCCGAGTTAACTAACCCTCCCCAGACGACAAGTCCTTTTTAAACAGTCTATGCACACTATTCCCTTTATAGTGCACAACGTCTCCAATCTCAGCTCTTCCAAACAGTATATCTAATCTGTTTGTCTCAGTCTCATGTCTTACCTGGCAGACAGAGCAGTAGTGGAGCAGCAGACCACAGCTGACACAGGCACACACAGACACAGAGAGGAGGTGAGAGCGTAGCCAGTCCCACACACTCCGCACCATAAATACAGGGTCTCCAAACGTGACCTCCACGAGCATCCGGCGCTCCATCGGACTGTTCCTCAGTTAGCCTAGAGAGGTTAGCATTTAGCCTTGCCCCTCTCTGTATGTCCCTCTGTTAGCCTAGCATGAGCATTTAGCTACAGCCCTTCTATCTGTCCCTCAGCCCTGCAGCATTAGCAGTCAGCCAATGTAATTGCCTGGCTTTGTTCACTTCTGTGTTTCTGGTAAACATCCCCTCTCGTATGAGGTTACATTATAATCCCTCTCCCACTGAGCCCTCCCCCTCTCTCTCTGCCTTCTCTTTAACACCAATTCTTCATCTCGGTCCTCTCAGCAGCATTGTCACTCCTCTCTCACGGTCTCCCTACCTGATATTCTCTTCTCCCTCCCCAGTCTCATGCTCGCTCTTTAACTTGTCACTCTCCCTCCACTCTCTCTCCCTCACACTAATCTGTCACTTAGCGCTACATTTTCCCTCTCCCCAAATTTGATGACCTCTGCCTCCCTTTTGTCCATTTTCCCTATCCAAGTGTCTTTCCCCTCTCTCACACCAACTGTCTTTCTGATATCAGTCCTCTCACAATCCGCTTATAGTAGTATGTCACTGTCTCTCTCCCTCTCTCTAATCCCTCCATCAGCCTGTCCTGAGCCTGTGTCCTCAGAAAGCCAGAGTCCCCAGTGACAGACACGTCTGTAATACCCAGAGAGAAAGGGCCCCTTTACTCTACACTACTTTGACGACACATACTAGTCCCAGGAAATATACTTCTGTAGTGTAAAGAGACGGATCTCGATTCAAAATCTCTCTGAGAGATGTTTCCCACACTAGCTCCGGAGGTAGTGTGGGAGGCATCTACCCCACATTCACCACTGAGTAGTATAGTGTAAAGAAAATGGCTCTCCCACACCACATGTCCCTGCAAGAAGTACCTTAATACCAGCAGACAGCAATTTTTCTTTGTTAACTAAATTGAAAATTAAAGGATTTCAAAATATCTACACATATTTTACTAATGGAAATCCACAGACAGACGGAGAGAGAGAGTGGGGCAAAGACAACTTTCAAGTGTGTGAGTATGATGCAAAATACATTTACCTAACGTAGCCAATTCTGTTTTGTGGGAGTCATCATGCTGGAGACAAAGTGAATCACTAGATTGGATATTCAGAGAAAAACAACATTTCTAAATACCACTAAGCACTAACCCCACTTTTGCTCTCTCTCATTTCTATTGATTCTATGGAACCCAGGACTCCTTGGAAAACAGTGTCAATTGTTACTGAGTGGACTATCCTGACTAAATAAAGGAAATTGAAATCCACTAGAGTACTCCCCAATAGCTCCCTCTAAACCCTTCCCCCATTGTCCTGTTTCTCTTTGTCCCTCTGAGAAATTCCTCAGACATATGTAAGCCCAGAGAGAGAGAGAAAAAAAACTGGTATGTAGCTGTTCTGAATAGCTTTTGATTTGTAAAAATGTAAAAATGTAAATGTAATTTATATAAAAGGAGGTAGTCCCTGTTAGTGCTCACAATACCAGTGTGTCACTGCTGTAGTTTTGAAGACGTCCTCCAGCGATTGTTTTACTTTAACTGTTGAAAAGAGATATCCCAAGTATAAATCCAGTAAAGTACACACACTAAAGGGTAAAATTAACTATGTTGAGCAAAATAGTTGTTTTTAGACAGCTGCAAACTTGAAGGAGTACGGCATTCAATTAGTTGGTCTGATGGGGAATCTGTGATGTCATCGGCCTTCCCCTTTGCTTGAGGAGCAATAGAGAACAAAAGAGGAAAGCCCCCCCCCCCCACACACTTGTGCTATGCCATGACTTACCTGGACCACCTATTGAGATGTGCCTTTTGTTAAGTAAATTTGGGATATCGCTTTTCAACAGTAAAAGTAAAAAACATCGCTGGAGGACGTCTTACTTTTAGGTGTGATGCTGCTCTTTTTCAGGCCTTGTTTACATGAAACCACATCCCCTCCCTTCTGCTCTCTGTGGCATGAGCAGCACAGCCCACAGCTCAACCACAGCCCAGTTAACACACAAAAAACAGAAGTCTGATACAAATGTGTGTTCTAATGCTTTTGTGGACACTTCCAAGTATGTGTGAGAGTGTTCTTATGTGTATGCATGTTCGAGTGTGGCAAGTTTGCCATTGTGAGTTGAATAATGTGAGTTTATGTACAAGTTGGTTCTTGTGTGTGCATGTGGAGTATGTGCTGTATGCGCCCGTGTGCATGTGTGTGTAGGGAGGGTACTTTATCACTCCTCCTCCACTTATCTATAGTTTCCTCTGCGTTCTGTTCCACTGCCTGTGTATCAGGGGAAAACCTTACGCCGTGCTGCAAGGCTAAACAGGGGGAAGATAGTGTCAGAGAAATGAAGGGATGATGCAGGCAGAAAGATATTATGAAAATATGTCAAAAGTAATGTGTAATATTTAAGACGTTGCATTCAAAATACAGACCAAAGCCAGAGTGAAAAAGAAAAAAAGAGAAACAGCGCCATATATGGCAATGCTGTCGCCTAGCAACGCAACTGCCTTCAGCCCAATTTTCCATGACACTCTGAGCTGTAAATGCGAGACGCATCAGAGTGTGTAGTGTCTGAGTGCGTGCCTTCAACTCTGAATATGCATAGCGTGAGCAGGCAAGTATCCACTATGTACATCATTGAGCACAAAGTGTAACAACTGGTTTGGCCACACCTTGAAAGCATACAGTAAGCCAATAACAACCAAGGCCCTAATACTACCACAACCAACAACACTCCCATCAGTGCTGCCGTATCACACCAGCTAGATCCAAAATGGATGCCCAGTACAGTCACTCACTCCTTGGTGTTTCACTATGTTCCAGATATTCAATCATAACAGTAGTGTGGGTGGGATCTATAACATGGGAACTGCTGACATACCCGCTTTCATCCAGACTACATTCATACATTAACAAGGATGACACACACAGATATATGAAAATATCTGGACTCACAGAAGATAAAGCAAATGAGAGAGAGCAAATGATTGAGGAAAAGAGAGAGAGACAAAGTTGGTAGAAAGAGAGCAAGGGAGAGAGCTATGGCTAAGTGCTGAATTCAGGATGTTTGGGTACTTTTTTTAAGGCTCACTCTCTCCACACATTGACTTACACACACAGCATAGAAACCCACTGGAGCACAAACAATATGAGAGTGAGTCACTCACATCAATATCATCTAAATAGGTCTGTCATTATGTGTTATTTGGAAGAACATCTCCCTTTCAGAGACATGAAGAAATTAGGACTGAACAGATGTTCTCCTGAAGTAGTTTATCTCAAACAAAGACACATTGATTACAACGACTATGCACTCAGAGAGAGACAATGTAACAGGGAGAGAGCGAGAAAGTATGTGTGTGTTGGTGATATGTAACATTTAGACATTCTAGTATTTCCACACAGTCTCTCTCAGTGGTGACGTCCAGGATTCACACCATTCTTGTTCAGGAAGAGAGCTTGCCTGCGTTTCAATTGGTCTATTTCCAGGAAAGACATCCTGTTTTTGAGCTCATGTCATTCCAAGCATTTTTTCTCAGGGCACATCAAAGGCCTCTGACTGCGGAGGGAAACATCATTTACCACTGAAAAAGGTTAGAGCTGGATCATACACGGGACAAAACAAGAACAACTTGGGGTTCAGCAAATGACCCTGTGTTCATCAAGCCGAGCTCATTAGTGACAATCACAGCTAAGGGTCATAGTGGTTGGGGTCATGGGTAAAGAGTCACTCAGGAGTCAAAGGTTCACTGATCACCAATAAACGCCCTATTTATTGGCTTAGGTGTATTATGTAAGCGACACCACAGGTTCACCTAGCCCTCTGATAGGCCAGCTGATTTCCACCATATTGTTTACACCATACTGATCTATGTGTAAATACAATTGCACTCCAAATTCCTTCAGGCTAAAACGACATATATATGTCAGCGGGTCAAATATTTGACCCTTGAAGCAGCCACTGAGCTAATATTCACCACACACCCTGTGGTAGGAGCACATGGGCTTGGCGGCTTTGTGTGTGTGAAGTGTGAGATACAGATATATTAGCTAGGAGAAGATCTGACACAAACATTGACATAGAGAATTGTGAATTCCTCAGTCTCCAACGTGTGATTTTGAGTGTGTGTGTGTGTGTGTGTGTGTGTGTTATTGACATGCAGTCTGTAAATCAACAACAATGGGGTTGTGGTACTGGAACATGCATTATCAGTGAATGTCTGCTCTGCCCATTAGGGCATCATTTCAATCATTGTGCATCTCTTCTGCATAAATTGAAAAAGACTATGCCTTATATCAATAGCATGAGAGCATACAGTAGGCTACAACTGTACAATGGAAGTGTGTGTGTTTACAGAAAGTAGTCTAATAGAAAGCATGAGCTGGCATACACCCAGTGATAATATTTTGTGTAGAGGTGCTGACTAATGGCGAATAAACTGCAAGCTATAAAAATAAATAGAGTTGCACACTCTATATTAACTCCCGGTAATTCATTGGGTAAACCTCCAGAAGGCACAGTGATGCTGAAATGTTGGTAGTTTACCCAATAAATCACAGGGAGTTTTATTAGCCTCTGTAGCTCAGCTGGTAGAGCACGGCGCTTGTAACGCCAAGGTAGTGGGTTCGATCCCCGGGACCACCAATACACAAAAAATGTATGCACGCATGACTGTAAGTCGCTTTATATAAAAGCGTCTGCTAAATGGCATATTATTATATATAGAGAGTGTGCAATGCTCTTTATTTATTTGTTTGCAGAAAGTAAACAATAGGTCTATGTGTGTTTAAGTATGTGCCCATCCATGGCACTTCTAGCCAACATTTAGGACCGATTATAGCCAAAGAGTTTAACATAATACTACTGGGTGTTTTTGTATGCAACTTCATACAGAAGATAAACCTCTAGTCAGCAGACCTCCACCACATTTTACGCACATTAAAAAAGAAAAGAACGGCACACTCACCCCCATGCCTTCGTCTGGGCTGCCCAGCATGTTGCAAATGACTGGGGACAGGCTGGACTCGATGTCGCTGCCGGTGAAGTCATCCTCGGACTCTTCAAACGACGAGGCAGAGGACAAGCAGCCGGCGGAGGAGGAGTTGGAGAGCTTTCGGTGAAAGCGCATTAGCGCCGGGGAGCCTCCGCAGCCACTGTCCGAGCAGGGGGACTCATCATCGGCGTGTGGATCCAAGGATGATCCACCGACTCCGACTTCCATGGTCCTTGGATCTAGTGTTTCCTGGGTCCGACTGGGGCTTGGATCTCTTGTTATAATAAGCTTTGGGATAGTACCGGGGAAACGTTGGCTACCAAGTGGACTTTGGACCTGTCCGTGTGGCTGTTTTGGAGAGTTAATCGAGGGGTCCTCCTGTTTCCCCGACTCCACGGGACAACTGCTTTGTTCATTTTTCCTGACTGCTTCGGGTTCACAAGAAGCAGTGAGAAAGTTCGATTTGGTCATTTCTACCTCTGTGTGTGGCATATCACACCCTATCGGTTCTGACACGCCACTTGTCAGAGGTTCGTCCAAACGCACGCTCTGTGATGCCAGGGTCAGTCTTAAATTCTCCTCCCCAGATATGCGCCAATGGACTGAACCATCCGGTGGTACAGCCCCCGATACCACCCTGACCTCGGAGGCAACCCGACCCTGTTTATCAAATCCGAATGGCTTGTTTTCCATGGCCCTAGCCGGGGCATTCCAGACATAGTCCTCTCCCGTTGTTTCTGGGCCGCTGCGCTGCGTAACTGCGCAGCGGGTTCTGTCGAATCCTCTGGCCAGTGTATCCAAGCCCGTCGCATCGAAGGAAGAGTCGGCCGCTCCCTTGCTCACAACGTCACTGTCGAGAGCCTGACTCTTTTCATAATGAATTGCAGATGGGTATTCGACGACCGGGGTGGTGTAATCCACTACCTCCGACACTGTCTGGCCGCTCAACAACTTTCCTTGCTCGTGACCACGAAGGGTTTCCGAATCTCCAGATCCGATTACCAGCCCTACCTCCGGTTGACCTGTGCCTGGCGAAGGCAACTTTGTCGTTTTCATCCGATTCCTGTAAAACCGGTCACCCCTTCGCTCATCACTGGTAAACCTGCAGATAGGGAGTTGTTTGGCTGTCTCAATTGGTTTCCATTTTGCTTTGCCTGGAGCCGGGGTGGAGTAGGAGAGACCCGAGCGCGTTTGACCCATTCTGTACACCTTAGTAGTAGCGCACAAGTCACACCTTCCGAGATGTGTCCAATTTGAAACAATTCGCAATGTGCTACAAAGTAACACATAAGTTACGTGCTCCACTCATTGTTACCAATGATGAATTACAATTATAGGAAAATGTTGATCAAATGTTTGAATGTTCCATATCTGCAAGAAAAAATATGAAAACAGTTTTAGAATATTTTTCCAAAACAAGTCACATAAGCTAGTGTACTGCTTTCCATTTGGTCTTATCTATGTCATATTGCAATAAACAACTTCAAACAATGTCATAAAGGTACAAGGTACACACTTTTGCTTTCATTAAAGAGATAAGACTGAAATTGTGTCTGTGTGAAGGGTGAACACAAATCAATATGGTTGTAAAACAGGAACTTTGTTTTTTTGTTTTTGTGCCTTTTGAGGCTAATAACTTGAGATACATTGCTTTGCTCATGTTTTTGTATTTGTATTTGTTATGATCCCCATTAGCTGCTGCCAAGGCAGCAGCTACTCTTCCTGGGGTCCTGCAGAATTAAGGCAGTTATACAATTTTAAAAACATTACAATACATTCACAACACATTGTGTGTGCCCTCAGGTCCCCTACTCCACTACCACATATCTACAACACAAAATCCATGTGTACGTGTGTATAGTGTGGAAGTTATTATGTGTTTGTATGCATCTGTCTGTGCCTATGTTTGTGTTGCTTCACAGCCCCCGCTGTGTATTTTTATCAGTTTTTTTAATCTAATTTTACTGCTCGTATGAGTTACTTGATGTGGAATAGAGTCCCATGTAGTCATGGCTCTATGTAGTACTATGTGCCTCCCATAGTCTGTTCTGGACTTGGGGACTGTGAAGAGACCTCTGTGGTGGCATGTCTTGTGGGGTATGCATGGGTGTCCGAGCTGTGTGCCAGTAGTTCAAACAGAGAGCTTGGTGAGTTAAACATGTCAATACCTCTCACAAATACAAGTAGTGATGAAGTCAATCTCTCCTCCACTTTGAGCCAGGAGAGATTGAGATGCATGGTATTAATGTTAGCTCTCTGTGTACATCTAAGGGCCAGCCGTGCTGCCCTGTGCTGAGCCTATTGCAATTTTCCTAAGTACCTCTTTGTGGCACCTGACCACACGACTGAACAGTAGTCCAGGTGCGACAAAACTAGGGCCTGTAGGACCTGCCTTGTTGATAGTGTTTTTAAGAAGGCAGAGCTGCACTTTATTATGGACAGACTTCTCCCATCTTAGCTACTGTTGTATCAATATGTTTACAATCCAGGGTTACTCCAAGCAGTTTAGTCACCTCATTTTGCTCAATTTCCACATTATACATTACAATATTTAGTTGAGGTTTAGGGTTTAGTAAATGATTTGTCCCAAATACAATGCTTTGAGTTTCAAAAATATTTAGGACTAACTTATTCCTTGCCACCCACTCTGAAACTAACTGCAGCTCTTTGTTATGTGTTGCAGTCATTTCAGTCGCTGTAGTAGCTGACTTGTATAGTGTTGAGTCATCCGCATACATAGACACATAGGCTTTACTCAAAGCATACATAGGCTTTACTCAAAGCCAGTGGCATGTCGTTAGTAAAGACTGAAAAAAGTAAGGGGCCTAGACAGCTGCCCTGGGGATTTCCTGATTCTACCTGGATTATGTTGGATAGGCTTCCATTAAAGAACACCCTCTGGGTTCAGTTAGACAGCGAACTCTTTATCCACAATATAGCAGGGGGTGTAAAGCCATAACACATATGTTTATCCAGCAGCAGACTATGATCGATAATGTCAACAGCCACACGGTAGTCTAACAAAACAACCCCTACAATCTTTTTATCATCAATTTCTTAACAAAGCTCCGCATTATTAAACAAACTCACTTCCTTGACAACTTCCTTCACAACAGCTTTGCTCTGACTTCTGCTGAGGCCGCATCGCAGAAAATGCTGTACTGCAGACATCAGATTACCATGCAAAGCCTTTTACCGAAGTAACTTTGGTCAACTCTTGAGTTCAACTCGGGATAACCAGTACCACGAAAGTGGGGCAATGAGAGTGTCGAATTTAGTCAAGATAAAAAATATATTGCTATTTTGATACCTGAGGCTTATTTGATCTAATAGAAGTTTTGTAATGCTTAGGTTGTTACGAGTGTACTGATATACTGTAAGTGTGATGCGTGTGACACATATCCCGGCAACTTTGAGAAAAAACACTTTATATCGGAGTTGTCCCTGTAGAAATGTTAGACGATCTATGCATCTCACTCTCCATTGAATACAGGCGGTTGACGTCAACACTCCTCATCGAATATTTAAAACATTATTAAAATAAGGAGATGTATCCACCAATCGAAAGAGAGGAATAGGCGGATCTTGACAGCCTGCCATTCCGCTTTGTGGACAATGAATCCCATTGTTAGGGCGGTGACACAAACATCTCGTCATTATATCTACACTGAACAAAAATATAAACGCAACATGCAACAATTTCAAACATTTTTCAGAGTTATAGTTCAGATAAGGAAATCAGTCAACTGAAATATTTTCATTAGGCCCTAATCTATGGATTTCACGAGTGGGAATAAAGATATGTATCTGTTGGTCACAGATACCTTTTTTAAAAAAAGGTGGGGGCATGGATCAGAAAACCAGTCAGTATCTGGTGTGACCACCATTTGCCTCATGCAGCATGACACATCTCCTTCGCTTAGAGTTGATCAGGCTGTTGATTGTGGTCCCACTCCTATTCAATGGCTGTGCAAAGTTGCTGGATATTGTCGGGAACTGGAATACGCTGACGTACACATAGATCCAGAGCATCCCAAATATGCTCAATGGGTGACATGTCTGGTGAGTATGGCCATGGAAGAACTGGGACATTTTCAGCTTCCAGGAATTGTGTACAGATCCTTGCGACATGGGGCTGTGCATTATTATGCTGAAACATTAGGTGATGTCAGCGGATGAATGGCACGACAATGGGCCTCAGGATCTCGTCACAGTATCTCTGTGCATTCAAATTGCCATCAATAAAATGCAATTGTGTTCGTTGTCCGTAGCTTATGCCTGCCCATACCATAACCCCACCGCCAGCATGGGGCACAATGTTCACAATGTTGACATCAGCAAACTGTTCGCCCACACAACGCCATTCACGCTGTCTGCCATCTGCCCTCTGCCCGGTACTGTTGAAACCGGGATTCATCCGTGAAGAGCACACTTCTCCAGTGTACCAGTGGCCATCGAAGGTGAGTATTTGCCCACTGAAGTCAGTTACGACGCCGAACTGCAGTCAGGTCAAGACCCTGCAGAGGACAACAAGCATGCAGATGAGCTTCCCTGAGACGGTTTCTGACAGTTTGTGCAGAAATTATTCGGTTGTGCAAACCCACAGTTTCATCAGCTGTCCGGGTGACTGGTCTCAGACAATCCCGCAGGTGAAGAAACTGGATGTGGAGGTCCTGGGCTGGCGTGGGAACACGTGGTCTGCGGTTGTGAGGGCGGTTGGACGTACTTCCAAATTCTCTAAAACGACGTTGGTAGAGAAATTAACATTCAATTGTCTGGCAACAGCTCTGGTGGACATTCCTGCAGTCAGCATACAAATTGTACACTCCCTCAACTTGAGATATCTGTGGCATTGTGTTGTGTGACAAAACCGCACCTTTTAGAGTGGCCTTTTATTGTCCCCAGCACAAGGTGCACCTGTGTAATGGTCATGCTGTTTAATCAACTTCTTGATATGCCACACCTGTCAGGTGGATGGATTATCTTGGGAAAGGAGAAATGCTCACTAACAGGGATGTAAACAAATGTGTGCACAACATTTGAGATAAATAAGCTTTTTGTGCATATGGAACATTTCTGGGATCTTTTATTTCAGCTCATGAAACATGGGACCAACACTTTACATGTTGCATTTATATTTTTGTTCAGTATAGTATCTCTGCCTAGAGTATCTCCTGGAATACAAGCTAAGTTGGCTTCAGCAAGGCCACAGGAGCCAGGCCCAAGTTGACGTGACTTCATCTAGATTTTAGATTGATCCATCTGACGTCTTCCGTAAGCAGCTTCAGGAACCTAATTAGGCAACAGCTGTAGCTAATATCACCTTCTACCCAAGATGGAAAAGGTAGCGAGACATCCCACTCCCAAATGTTTTCTGTTTCAATGGAAGTCAATGAACTAAGTAGAACTATCGCATTGGTGTCTATGGGAGAGCCATCCCCTTAAGTAGACCGGAACTGACCATTGTTTTCAATGGTAAACGGCCTGAGTGAACTATCTTATGTTATCCACCATCTTTGCTTCTACCGTGCTGCCCACATTTCTGCTGCCCTCCAGTATCCTAACGTAGCAGGCGTAAAAGAACGCTGTTTCTTTCTTTCTGTTCCTGACAAAAAAAAAAGAACTGTCGGGGCAGGTTCTCTTTTGCCCTGTTCAACCAATCCAGTAAATTTGGAGCAGGGGTTAAGTTGGATTGTCACCTTGTTAACGTCCAAAAGTGGAAGTCACGTCACAGGCTCTCTTTCCATTTCCCATGAAAACCGGATGCATCCGGTTTTGTGGCCCTCCAGTGTTGCAATGTCACAATACATAACTGACTATTGGTTTCCAGCTTTATTATGCTAAGGAAAAGCTTCTAAGTGGAAGTTAATAAGATGAAACAACAACAACAATGCTGACAGGCAAAGACGGCGTGCCAATTTCCCCTAGCATCAAATCAGCAGAAAGAGTGAAGTAGTTGTTACAATTACTTGGCCTAAGTTTGCTTAACACCAAATCCCCTACAGTAGGGATGGGCAGCTATGATGGGGGTGGGGATCACAGAAAAACAGAACTCATTTTACCAGACGCTCTTATCCAGAGCGACTTACAGTTAGTGAGTGCATACATCTTCATTATTTTTTTTCATACTGGAATCGAACCCACAACCCTGGCGTTGCAAATGCCATGCTCTACCAACTGAGCTACATCCCTGCCGGCCATTCCCTCCCCTACCCTGGACGACGCTGGGCCAATTGCGCGCCGCCCCATGGGTCTCCCGGTCACGGCCGGCTACGACAGAGCTTAGATTCGAACCAGGATCTCTAGTGGCACAGCTAGCACTGCGATGCAGTGCCTTAGACCACTGCGCCACATCATGAGGTGCCAGTTGCACATCCCTGGCCTACAGAATGGAGAGAATCTAGGACATTGGAAGGGGGTCAGTTCAGTTCCTAGTTTGTGACATTGTAACACTGATGTGTCATAATCACCAAGAAAAATTAACAGAACAGAAAAAGGCAGGTCAAATTATA